CAACATCTCTGATTGGTTCATTCAAACATCAGGGTCTCACCTGGAGTGCGCGCATGTAATACTCAACATGATCCACTTGCTTCATATATATAAATGAATGATGAATTGGTCTGGTGGTGAAACGTGTGTGTATGGCTAGAGGTCCTGGGTTCAACCCCAGATTGTTGCATTTTGTTTTATTTTTTTTTAACATTTCTCTTTTTGCAGGTTTTTGTTTGAGCGTTGGGCTCATCACCTTGGGCCTAACGAATTTCAACAAACACATCCCCCAGTTTCTTTTTGATACCAGACCCATATCTTATGTTTTTATTATTTCTCTTTTAGTTTTTTTTATATATATTTTTACTTTTAACAAATAATAAAAAAATCAAAAAAATAATAAATAGATTTAGGTTTTCTAAAATTATTTTATTATTTAATTTAATTTAATTTTATCAACTTAAAATCAATTAGACTTAGGTTCATTTTAATTTAAATTATTTTCTTAATAAAAAAATGCAAAAAATATTAGAATTAGTTTAATTTCATTCAATCTTTATTTTCTTTAGAGTTAATTATTTTCTTAATAAAAAAAAAGGATTTTTCTTGTTTACTTAGAATTTTTCTTAGGATTTTAGACGTAATATTTATTTCGCGCGCGTTATTTTCGTTCTCGCATTTTATATAAATATTGTAACTGCTTATGGATGTAATGGTTTTAGATTTAAAATTCCTCACTTTATTTCATGCACTCTTTTTTATGTAACTCTCCCAAAGCCGTGTAATAGTTTAGGATTTATTTTTCTACATTTTATTTTCCACACATTTACTGCTTTATTATTTTGATATATTACTATTAGTAAATAGGAGTGTATGGAAAGACTATAAATTAAAACGTTAACTCACCTAACAAAAAGACAAAAATAACGGAATCTCAACACATGCACATATGCACCTCTAAGGTATCCCCGCTCCGGTTTCCTTTCGGAAAATAAAGCAGTCATGTCCCTCGAGAATGGGGACACTTTAGTAAAGACCCGTAAAACCAAAAGATCATAGTCCCTCGATGACCCTACGGTGTTGCCTTTCGGTAAATGATCTCGTCCCTTAAATAAAAGTTGCTAAAGCGTCTCCATATGTTGCCTTTATGACTGTAAAACGTCTCTTCAATTGTCTCTTAACATCCAACGATAAGGATACCTACTTGCTAATAGTAGGATAACATTGTCTAAAGGAAAAGAGGAAAAAAGCGACCCTTTTCGAGTAATAAAGTAAATAGTTGTTAGAAGTTTGCTCAAACATTTTGCACTTGCACAAAAATTGCTTTTCAAAACACTTTGTATACTTTCTCCACTATCCCGAGAAACATTACAAAGTTCACCATACTAAGGCGTTTTCAAAACATTTTCAAACACAACGCACAAAGGTATTTTAAAAATGAGCAAACCTCTAAGAGCCCATGGAAAACCACGAATGGAAAGGGTGCTAACACCTTCCCTTTCCATAATCTACCCCCCTTACTCAGAAAACATCTCGAAAATGTCTTTTTCTGTTCTTTTCACCCTTTCCTTTGTTGGATAAAAGAAAAGTCGGTGGTGACTCTTGCTTACCGCAACATTTGCAAACACAAAATGCAAAACCAGTATTAAACAGTCGATTCTGCCACCGTATCACAACAGGGTGCAGAAAATCTTGACCATCCATGGTAGTAAGTATCATAGCACCACCAGAAAATATCTTTTTGATGACAAATGACCCTTCGTATATGGGAGTCCATTTTCCCATGGGATCACCTTGTGGTAGGATAATGCACTTTATTACCAAATCACGAGCCTGATATACTTGATGTTTGACTTTCATTTTAAAGGCTTTGATCATGCGTTTCTGATACATCTGACCATGACAAACAACCGCAAGCCTTTTCTCGTCAATCAAATTTATCTGGTCCTGCCTAGTCTGAATCCACTCGTCTTCATCTAAACCTGTTAATTTCATAATCCTTAGGGGAGGAATCTGGACTTCAATAGGTAAGACAACCTCCATAGCATAGACTAGAGAGAATAGGGTTGCTCCAGTTGATGTACATACTGAAGTGCGATAACCATGAAGAGTAAATGGTAGCATCTCATGCCAATCTTTGTACGTCACTGTCATCTTCTGTAAAATCTTCTTGATATTCTTGTTGGCGGCTTCCACTGCGCCATTCATCTTCGGTCGATACAAATAAGAATTATGGTGTTTAATCTTGAACTGTAGAGTTATATGATCATAATATTGTTGAGATTAGTACCATTGTCTGTGATGATCCTTTTAGGGATGCCATACTGACAGATAAGGTTGCATTTAATGAACCGATCCACAACATTCTTGGTAACAGAAGCAAACGAGACTGCTTCAACCCACTTCGTGAAGTAATCAATAGCGATCAGGATGAAATGATGCCCATTAAAATCAGTAGGCTTAATATCTCCAATCATTTCAATTCCCCACATTGCAAATGGCTAAGGAGCAGTCAAGACATTCAAAGGAACCAGAGGCACATGTACTTTGTCAGCATAAATCTAGCATTTGTGGCAAGTTCCAGAATGATGATGGCAATCGGTTTCCATAGTAGACCAATAATAACCTGCTCTCAGAATCTTTTTAGCCATTGTATGCCCACTAGAGTGAGTACCAAAGACTCATTCGTGCATATCTTCCATAATTTTCTCAGCTTCCTTCTTGTCTATACAACGAAGCAAAGTTGAATTGTGGTTGCGCTTGTACACGATTCTGTTATTAAAAAAGAACTTGGCAGAGAACCTCCGTGGAAATTTCTTATCATTGATAGATGCTCCTTCCGAATATTCTCGAGTTTCGAGGTATCTTTTTACTTCGTGGTACCAAGGCTTTTCCTCTACTCCATCAGCATCAACTTCGTAGCAATGTGCTGGTTCGTCTAGTCTCTCAATAGTAATTCGAGGAGCTTCGTTATCCCATCCGACTTTGAACATAGACAACATGGTAGCTAATGCGTCTGCTAATTGATTCTCTTTTCGTGGAATATATTCAAAAGTGATTTCCTTAAAGTACGAAATTAATGTCAACACATGCTCTCGATAAGGAGTGAGATTTGGATGCTACGTATCCCATTCTCCCTTAATCTGACTGATCACTAGGGATGAGTCCCCATATACATTCAAGAATTTAATTCTCATATTGATGGTAACCTTGATGCCCATGATGCACGCTTCGTACTCGACCATGTTGTTAGTACAAACAAAACATAATCTGGCGGTGAAGGGCGTATGGAAACCCTTGGGAGAGATAATCACAACACCGATTCCATTACGAAGCGTGTTGGGAGCTCCATCAAAATCATAGTCCATCGGGATCCCGATTCAGGTCCTTCATATGGTCCAGGTTCTTCATAATCTGTAACTAGCATAATATTGTTATCTGGGAACTCAAAATTCATAGTCTGATAGTCATCTACAGCTTAATGAGCCAAATGATCTATCAGTACACTTCCTTTGATTGCCTTCTGAGTAATATACTGAATGTCATATTCTGTCAAGACCATTTTCCGTCTTGCTATTCTTTCGGAGAGAGCGGGTTTCTCAAATATGTATTTTATTGGATCTATTGCAACTCATTTTTAAATCAGAGTCGTCGCCCTTAATTTTTATCCTAAGGAAGGGAGTATAAAGGAATAACCCAAAAAAGTTCAGAGATTCTAGGTTTGACTCGGTTCTAGACGAAGGGAAGGTGTTAGGCACCCCTCATCTACCTTCTTCACAAGGATACTAGGTTTAGAAGCACGATTTTTAGGAAAAATGGTTTGTTTTTTAATTAGGTGGACTCACCACAATTTTAATCGTATGCCTACGTATCCTCTTATGAGGAATCAAAGTCCCATTTTGTAGTTCGCGGGGTTGGTTGGTGTTTTTTATAAGATTGTGTAGAATTGCTTTCGAATTAACCTTGAACATTATCTGAGTTGTAAGTTGAGTGATCGTAGACGCAGTTCACAGTTTGATTCGAAGACAATGCTATTTAATCTTTTTTTGAAAAAATGATCTCTCACAATTTGATTCGAAGACAATGCTATTTAATCTTTTTTTTGAAAAAATGATCTTGAAATTTTGATTAAGTTAGCAGAAAAATAGTTTGATTGGTTAGCTGTATTAAGGCATGGAGCGAGGAGTCTGATATAGTTTCCTCATCACGTGACCATATATTGACCATGTGTCGCTCGCGAATAGTGAATTCAGTGTGTTGCATTGATTTAAATTATTTGATTTTGAATAATAAATCGGTAGACGATGTATCAACTGATTTAATTACTCGATGGTGGACATCCCATTATTTATAGAACGTTTGAATTAATTATTGTAAAAGATTTAATTAAGTACACATTTATGACGTTCTTATAATAACACAAATTCATTTAGAAATCTAATAACTGAATTATTAATTAACATCAATTAGACAAAATAATTAACTAATAAAAATAAAATAACCAAAATCAGAGGGAGGTGTATAAATAGAACATGAGGTGGTGTAGAAGTTAGGGCCCAAGTTCAACCGGTAACAAACCCTAATGAAACCTACTTAATAAAATAATATTCACAAAAAAAAAATGAAGCATCAGCATGAGGGGAAGGCGCAACTTCCTATCTAATTGTCCCTATTATAATTTTTTATAAGAAACTATCAACCACTTAGTGACTGACATGTGTCCCTACTTGGATAAATAAATAAAGACAATAAAACATATGACATTATCGTATCAGAGGAAAAGAACACAGACATTCCTCTCTTCTCTTATCAAAACCCACAGAGCAAAATCACATCACTCAAAAACATGACCACTAAATCAAAAAAATCAAGAATTAATGGATGAAAAACGAAAAAGAGGATAAGCAAGCGAAAACCTGTGATGACGGTCTCGACAAAATCACGAATGTATTGTCGGAGTGGCAGGAGATCTAGCCAGAGGATCGCTGTAGTAGACGTGCGCACGGAGGTTCGGCGTCGGATCAGAAGGGTTTCGTGGTTGATGTGGTGAACTCTTCGGAATGGGGCCTATGGAGGATCTGGAGTGCTCTTCGGAGGTCGCCGTTGGTTGGAGTCACGGTTTTGTACGTCGGGTCAGAAGTTTTGCACGGAGGGAATGAGGTGATTTGCTGCTGCGTGTCATGAACATCGCCAGAGCTTCAATGGTTTTCACGGATCTGCATCGGGAGAGGGAGATCCCTGCTTCTATTTGTTTTCAGAACCTCTGTTTTCTTCTTCCTCCATTCTCTTCTTCTTTTGTTTTTCTTTTTTTTTGGTTCTGCAAAAAGAGAAGAAAAAAAAACTTAGTACAATACAATATGCAAGTTTGTATGTTAAGAGTTTGAAAATGATGATTTTGGCAGGAAGGTGAGCGTAGGTGGCAAGAATTTCTTTTAGGCTGGTTCTTTGACAAAACATTGTTAGAAATGTAAAAGAAAAAAAGTCAAAGTAAACTAAAAAATAAGGATTTATTTTACAAGGTTATAAAAATGTATAAAATCCATATGGTTTAGAAAGTGTTAGAACAAATACTTACCATGTGAAGTTGTGAACGAAATAGATTAATTGTAGATACTAAAATATAATTTTAATAATAAACAACAATCTGGTAAAATTGTGCGGTTGAGAGAAAAAAAATCAAATGAATAAAAATCAAATGAATTTAAATTAAAAGGGGGGTAAAACTAAAAAATAATTTAGAGGCCTCATATGAAATCATCGCCCAAGAATAGTTGTTGTCTGATATAGACAAGAACAAGGTTTCAGGGTTTTTGTTTAGAAATCTTGTAATAAACCAAAACAAAAGAATTTATGAAATTGAAAAAATGATGAATTTGTGGATTCATGTGTGAATTGTGTGGAAATTATGAATGATTGTTGATTTGTGGATGAAAAATTAGAACAACAATGAGTCCTATTTATAGAGTGAAATTAGGTTAAACAATTTGGAGAGAAAGCTAGCCCAAAATGAATGAAAGGTCCAAAGTTTGATCTCCAAAAAAGAAAAGAAAATTAGTTACAAAAAGAAATAGAAAAATGTTAAAAATGCTCCATAAGAGAAACGAACCCACAACCTCATATTTTTAAGCTTCATTCCTTACCAATTATGTCATGTTACTCATTTGTAATAAACTCAATTGAAAGTATATGAAAGGTTTAAACAAATATTTATTTATTCTAAAATACAAATGATCTGAAATAAATCATTATATTTTTAAATAGGTTTAGAAGCGAATATTTTAAAAACAAAAAAAAAAATCATAAAAATATAAAATCACAAAAAATATAGAATTAGGTTTTTTTTATTTAAATTAATTTTATTGGACATAATTTAGTTTAATTAGATTAACTTAATTGCTTTTTTATATATTAATTAAAATTAACTAGAAATTGAGTTTAATTTGCAATTAAATTGTTTTTCTCATTAAAAAATACACAAAAATATTTTTAATTAATTAGATTTTTTAGGCTTCTAATTTATTCTCGTATTTAATTCGTCGCGCGCGCCTTTACTTTCTTTTAATTCAAATTATTATAACTGTTCCAAGTTTGGAATAGATTAATTAGGGTTTTAATTTCCGCATCTTTATTTTCAGTCAAATACTTATGTATCTGCCCAAAAGCCTTGTAATAGTTAGGACTTTAGTTTCTCGTACTTTTTAATTTCTGTAACTATTAAACTGCTAGATGTATGGGTATTAGGATTGTATGCGAAAGATAAATCAACGATTAAAAGGTAGATAACCCTAATTGTGCAAAGATAATTTACTGAAAAAAATCACACTTGCACATGCTCACTCCTAGGGTTTGCCCCACCCCGGTTGCCTTCGGTAAACGACCATAAAGCGTAGGAAATTTTAGTGGTCATCCTCTAGTCCCAAAAGATAAAAAATGACCCTTTCGGATGTTGCCTCGGAAAGATCTTTAAGACTTTAGGATAATCACTAAAGTTTCTTAACCATTACTTTTGTGACTATACTTGTCCCTTCGAATGTCCCTTAAAAATCCAACGATGGAGCTACCTACTCCTTAATAGTAGGATAGCGCTGTCTAAAGGAAACGAGAATGAACAATCTTTTTTCGAGTAGGTAGAAAATCTTAAGTACTTGCTCAAACAAACTCTTTTACACAAACACTTTCAAAACAATTTTCAAAAACCACTTCGTCATGCTCTTGAGGACAAATACAAGAGTTATCACAAAGTTAAACAAAACTTTTTGCAAAACACACACAAGCAATTTCAAAAATGAGCAAGTACCTAAGAGCCCGTGGAAAACCACAGATAGAAAGAGTGCTAACACCTTCCCTTTGTATAATCTACCCCCCGTACTTAGAAACATATCGAAAAAGGTTTTTTCTGTTCTTTTTCCTTTTCCTTTGTTGGATGAAATAAAAGTCGGTGGCGACTCTTGCTTACCGCAACATTTGCGAATACAAAACGCAAACCAGTATTAACAGTCGGTTCTGCCACCGTATCACAGAACTGGCGACTCTACTGGGGACAAATAAGTGGGGTATACCTTAGGATCTAGGTCATTTATAAAATTGCTTTCTTGTTTTGCTTTGCCTACTTTATATTCAAGGGTTCTGTTGGGGTTATGTAGATCATACACCCGGATCTGGGGACACCTTTTAGGTAAGTAGCAATAAACTGTGAGGGAACTGTGTAGGGTATACCGACACGGTTGAAGCAGTAGCTATGTTGATGTGACACTTTGGTTGGTACCAGTAACCCTTGTGTCAATCAAGGAGAGTACGGGGCCGCCGCGTGGTGTCATAAAGCATCAATTGACCTTAGAACCTTTAATTGCACAACTTGGCCAGTAGGACGTAGCGAGATGGCCGACTTTGGTTTATTCCCAAGGTTGATAGATACTCGATGCTACACTCATTGAGGTTTGACTCTTGAGTTTTGTTTGGTTGCGAGTCAATTGCCTATTGAACGAAGCTTGGGGGAAAGACCGGTGACATTGAGATCCCTTAGAACCCGGTTACTATTTATAGGACAGGTTGAACCAATCCAGCTTCAAGAGGGTATGACCTTAAAACCCATGCAGACCTTAAACCTAAGGACTTGGTGTGACTCATTTGTTTCTTGCTATATATGTGATTTTTTTAGCATAATTATGACATCATAAGCATGGCATATCATACTAACCATTTCAAGGACTTTCTAGGGCTCATCTTTGCTTTATTTTGTAGGACATGGCATCCGCCCGCAGGAACACTATCTAGATTAACCTTGTGAAAGAGCCTCTCCAACTAAAGGATTTGGCATTAAGGATCCCTGAAGTCTCTCCCTTCACTGAAAAACATGGCCGGTTGCTCAACTTGGTCACTTCAAAACCCGATGAAGAATTATTAAAAGTGTTATTTCAGTTCTTTGATCCTTTGCACCACTGCTTCACCTTCCCGGATTACCAGCTAGTGCCTACTATGGAGGAATTTTCTCGGTTGTTAGGGGTACCTATTCTTGATCAGTTACCTTTCAACGGTATAAAAGAACATCCAAAGCCTGAAGAGATTGCTCGAGCTCTGTCCTTACAATGGTCCGATGTAGTGACAAATTGGGAAACTATGGGAAGTGTCCAAGGAATCCCGATTAAATTTCTATTCGAGAAGGCTTACTATTTTTGGGATACCCTGGATTTACAAGATTTTGAAGAGGTATTGGCACTCCTCATCTACGGGATGGTACTTTTCCCTAATGCGGACCAACTCGTAGATGTGAATATTATTAAGGTTTTTCTATCTCATAATCCAGTGCCTACATTACTTGGGGACGTTCTACACTCTTTGTATGCTCGCACTCTAAAGAGAAGGGGGACCCTCTTGTGTTACACTCCTCTATTGGCTAGGTGGTTTATTTCGCACCTACCCAGGTCTATTTTGAAGAATGAGTAGGGTATGAAATGGTCTCATAGGCTGATGGCCCTTACACATTCAGACATTCATTGGTGTTCACAGTCCTCGGAAGATGTTACCGTCATCGATCGTTGTGGTGAATTCCCTAATGTCTCTCTCTTAGGCATTAGGGGAGGAATCACTTATAACCCTTGTTTGGCACTGCGGCAGTTTGGTTATGCGAGAAGGGATGATCCTCACGATACGCTTATCCAAGGAATCACCTTCAACTATGAGAATGATGCTCAGGGTTACCGCAAAAGGTTCATGAGAGCTTAGGGCATGGTACATAAAATTGATAGCAAGACACTGGGGCACAATAATTTCATCCCTCTTGAGCCTTATCTCAGATGGGTACGAGCCTGCACCCAAAGTCTTATGATGCCTTACCCTGCTGTCCTACCAATGATTATGGAACCAGTTGCTAAAGGAGACACTCCTTATCTTGTTCATCATCCTGACATGCCAACTGATCATGAGGAGTTACAGAAATCCTGGGTTCAACTTAAAGAGGAGCGGGATACGTTTGAAGCTCAATTCTATGCCAGCAAGAAGAAGGTCCTGGAGCTCACTAGGCTACTTCATGAAGAAAGGAACATAAACGCCTACATTGCACCAAAGAGGATGCGCTCCTGGGAAACCTAATTTGCCTTTTGCTTTAAGTTTTGTTTTGTTTAATTGTAAGCCTAAAGGGAATTATTTGTAACAATCCGAACTTATTAATACAATTAACGTATGTTTCTTTTGGTTAAACAAAATTGAGCCTTTAAGAGTCCTTGAAATCATTGCATACGCATATCATCCATAACATTGCATAAACATGTACCATTACAGGTTTCTCATCTTCTTCGTTGTTTATTTCAGCAATAGTGTCTTCTGAACAAAGCATCAAAGAACTCCAGGCACAAAATGCCCAATTTCAACAAATGTTCATAACTTTAGCAAAAGGGCAGGAAGATCTGAAGGCCCTCATCCTGAAGGAAAAGAAGAAGAAGAAGAAGACCTATGATGTTCTGAATCTGGGCAGAAGGTTCAGGGGGCCGTTAAAGCAACCAGTTGACCTGACCTCCTCGTCCAAAGAAGGGGAAAATTAAGAGAGAGAGAGAGAGAGAGAGACAAGGGAGAAGGACCATAGCCCTGAAGTCTCTAATAATGACACGAACAACAATGATGAGCAGTATCCTCCCACCGAGGATAGATACAAGCAGTTAGAGGATCGGTTGAGCGCTATGGAGATCCAGAGAATACCAGGGCTGGATTTTGAAGAGCTGGGATTGGCGTCTGAGGTAGTCATCCCACAGAAGTTTAAAGCTTCGGTTTTCGCGAGGTATAATGGGGTGTCTTGTCCCAAGCTTCATATCCATTCCTATGTGAGGAAGATTCAGCCTCACACTGCTGATAGGAACTTGTGGGTTCACTTCTTTCAAGACATTCTATCAGGGACTCAGCTCTAATGGTTTTATCAACTGGAGGGAACCAATGTCCATAACTGGGAGGATTTGGCTGCTTCTTTTTATAAGTAGTATCAATACAACGCTGACATTGCTCTTACTCGTACTCAACTCCAAAGTATGTCCATGGGTGCAGGTGAAGGCTTTAAGGACTATGCGCAGAAGTGGAGAGATTTGGCTGGGA